AGAGGTTCAGCTATGAGTTGGTTCTGAAAAACAAAACCAAAAAACTAAAAACCAAAGGGAAAAAAAAATCCACCCTCCAAAAACTAAAACACACACACACACACACACACACACACACACACACAACCAAAAAAGCCTCAATTAAAATGCTTTTAAGTTTTTCTCAAAGTTGTGCAAGATTAGTGACTTCATAAAGCTGTCTAAGGTTAGTGGACATTTGACAAGTAGACCTGCCTGCTTCTCATACTTGGCTGATCAGAAAATAGATCCACCGAAAATCTTCGGTTCAGAGACCCTCCTCTAAACTCTTTTACTCACTGCATCTTAGTGGATTCTTCTGGATGCGACGCTTTCTAATTATCATGATTAAACAATTTAAATTTTAAGTCTTGTAATGATGTTTCCACTGTTCCCAATATAGTCACTGTATTATCTACGGCAGTGATAATAAAAATCCTAATTGTTGTTTTCTCTGTGTTACCTTCTCTCCCTACTAGTTCTTTCCATTACTAGACCAGGTTTGCATTAAAACAAACCAAAAGTTGGCTGGATATCATCCACATTCCTTATGTCTAAAGTGTCTCAAATTCCTCTCCCATTCATCCCTGTACTTGAATGTTAATCTAACTCTCCAAGATAAACTGGTTTGCTTAACAGATCATCCTTGATATGACCTTAGTTCAATTCTTCAGGTCACTTGTCCTTTAGTCTGGAATGTTCCCTTTTTCCTCACCTCCCCTCTTCTTTGGCTACTGATATTCTACCAAAGATTGACGCCAGCTGATCGCTCTTTCAAATGCTTGTTTTAAATTATTACATCAGAATGACCTCTTCCTCACCTGAGCAGTCTTTGGCTCCTTCAATACTTAAGAGGCAGTCTTTAACTTTATGGTGTTACTGATTAGTTGCAGATTTAAACTGTTCAATTTAGGGGAGGACAACTTGCTATATTCTCCTGGTCCTGTGCACTAGGAAAGTTAGCCTTTGTTAAAGGTCTTCAATTTCTTTCTGGTCTTCAGGGCAGCCCTGTGGGACTCTACATGAGTGCTGCCTGTCTTTTCTATAGTTTGCAATTGTTCTTGGTGGTCCTCAGTGTGGCCTGAGACTAGTTTTCCCCTGGCTGTACTTTTTCTCTTGGGGTCGAGGGGAGAGGGATGGATGGCCCAAATAACTCAATGCTGCTGCCCTCTCAGGTTTCTCTGGTAATCCCTCCTGCCTGATATCTGCCTCTTCTAAAGTTTTTAATTTTTTTTCAAGTCATGGTGTACAGAGCAGCTGGAGACCAGCCTTCCCTCAACACCCCAATGGCTGCACTCACTCTATCCCTGCCTGGTGGTGGGTGGAGAAGCCAAAATTATTTGCAACAGCAAGAAAATGGAAACAGCCCAAATGTCCATCAATAAATGAAAAGATTGGGAAACTGTGGTAAATTCATGCAATGGAATACTATGCAGCACGCAGGGGCAAAGTTTTCATAAAACACTATGTAACACAGGAGAGGCTAGAGACCATTTTGCTGAATGAATTAACTCAGTGTCATAAGGACAAACATTGCATAAGACCATTATTGTGAAAATAGAAGGATAACTACTAAGATGTGGATAAAAGTCCAAAAAGGGGGAAAAGAGGTTAAGAGGGTTGAGGGTGAGGAGGGAGAGAAATCACAGGGTCGCAGAGTTTGGTGGGTGGAAAGAGGGAAAGAAGGAATTAGATCTAGCGGGCACCTAAAAAGATGGGGTGATAGTGGGCATAGATTAGTGGTAATGAACACAGTTTTTTAAAAGAGTCAGTCTTCTATTAGTGTTGTTTATTCATACCTTATCCCTTCTCTGTAGATTCTAAACTCCTGAATGGAACTGTAGTTTATTCTTGTCTGTAAACATCACAGCACCATACACAGTGACTTTCACATAGTAGGGACTCAGTCAAAATTGATTGAACGCTAGAATAAATAAGCTCTTTATTGAGCCGGAAACATTAGAAGAAATATCTAGCTTCATTTTGAAGAAACCCAGGTCAATGTCAAAATTACCTTGGCTGAGCCCTTTAAAGAAATTATAATTTATATGTAATTCTGTCCAAGATTATTTTAAGTAAATTAAAGTTTCTTTATATTAGTGATTTCTTAAAAGAAGTAGAGATCATTCAAGATACCATTTCCTCATCACCAATCACTCCCCACCGCCCAAACACCCCACATACTCCCTCCACTGAATTTTAGGATTTTTTTCAAAGCAAAGTAGCACTTCTGAAGCAGTAAAGATGATACAGTCATCTGTTTAGACTTGCCCAAAATCAGTCAGCTAAGAGAAATCTTATTTCACATTAGTTGAGTCACTGACATGATTTTTAAAGACACAATTCAAAAAAATTGAAATTCAAAGCTATCGTTCTTATTTTTTATTTACCACTTCAGGTACAGATTTTGAACAAATGATAATTAATCTTTTAAAAATATAATGAGACATAGGACATTTCAATGTCACAAAATAGGCTTACTAACCATAATAGAAGACAATCATGCTTATTTATAATACTTTAAAGATATAGGAGATGGGATGGATTCATAGCTTATAAGAGGCTATCTTTCAATTTTACATATCTGATTTTCATTCATCCAGATACTGTAAGTTGGAATCTAATTGACCATAGTTTCTTCTTCAATGGATATTAATTAAACATCTATTATGTTAAACTGCTGAGGACAAAAGTACATTGCACATAGAAAAACAATATAGTAAGCTCAAAAGATACAGTCCATGAGCTAATATTACTTACATATCCTCCCTTTTCATTCAAAATTTGATAATCTCATAACTGATTCCTCTGCTTGGATTAAAGTATATCCTCTCCTAAATCTGAAGGCACAAACCCCACCAGGAACACAATACTTCGAACATAAACTACTGTAGTATTCTACTAGCTCTAGTTTTCCTTTGTTTGTTTAATATGTGATTTTTATATCTTGATAAACTATGCAAACAGAGATTCAGCATAATCTCTTTACTATTTATATTTTTCAATCATAATTTACCTTGGAAGTGTTCTATAAAATTGTACCAATCTACTTTTATAATATTAATATGTCATTTTAAAAATTTCTAAAAATATCAAACATATCCTTAATTTCACTCATGGTCAGTAATATAGGCAACCATTTCATTTTCAGAATATTTAAGATGGTTCTTCTTATGACCCACTCTTCATTCTCTACATAATCAAACAACTAGTATGTACTTTAGGAAGTATCTTCAAGCAATAGTTCCTCCAGAAAGTCTTAAATGAATCTCACAGATGTATGAACTGTTCATCCCTGGAAACATGTATCATTTGTATTTTCTAATGGATTCCTCACATGTGGCTTCCTTTGCTATTATTCATTTATTCAAACAGCCCACAACACTCTATTTTCCAAAGGCAGTAGTAATTTTAAAGAAAAGTAAGTTGTTTAGTATATGGGCTCATAAAAAATTAATATTAAATTAATAATATTTCTGATTGCAAATATTTTTCTCAACTCTACATGCAAGTTTGACATGAAAATACACCACCATTAAAAACATGATCAATCAAGTTTCCATATCATTCTTAAGACCCAGGAAAGGGACTTTGGTCTATGTTGCTTCAAGAACAAGCAGTCTGGTCTTACCATCACATCTACACTTTTGTTTTCTTTTTCTTTTATGTTTTTCTCTCATTATCCTTTCTTACTTGTATAACTTTGAAGTAAAGAAGAGTCTCTGATATTTTTATTTTCTCTCTTTCTAGTAAAACCATGGTGCCAACCCAGGGCACTCGGTTTGAATTCACCAAATGCCTGTAGGAGAATAGGCAATCTCCTCCCATATGATTTACTGCGTCTGAAAACTCACTAGAGGGTAAGACATGGGTTGGTTTCATCTCAATGGTACATAACAAAACACTGCATATATTGGAATGGCAGTTGCTTTTAAGCACTTGGGACTCCACAGTTTTACTTGTACATGGATTTCTACCCCTGTACTACTGTGGTAAACTCAAGCGTTAGTCATCTCCAGATTTTAAATGGCTGCTCATAGGCTTTGAGTTCCTCAAAGTAAAAAGAAAAGGGAAAAAAAACACAACTCCACATTTTGATGGTACACAACAACAAATAAGTAGTAAAAAACAAGACAAAACAAATTTCTGGATACTATAGAAAACATGATTGCTTTACAAGGGTAATCCCTAAATTAATCCCTAAACTTATGTACAACTTTGCAATGGAAAAAACATTCCAACAAGATTGCAATGTATTATTAAAATTCTAGAAGGAGTTGGTTGCCCACATGGATGGCATTTAATTAATTATTAAAAACAAACATTATAAATGTTTTCTGTGTATACCATTTCACATCCCCACCAGTAGTTTAAGAATTCCAATTCCTTCATAATTTAGTCAATAATTAGCAGTTCCATTTTTAGTAGCCTAGTCCATAGAGAGTTGTACTGCTAACCCAAAGTGATACCTTTTTAGTGGTTTGGATCCATCAGCAGCTCCATAGGTGAAATAAAGGAAGTCTCCTCCCTTTACAACAAATAGGCTCCAAAAATTTGCTAGAGGGTCACCCAAAAGTTGGTTCAATTTGACTAGCAATGTTTGAGTGAGTGAATGAGTGAGTGATAATTCCCATCTACATTGAGACAAAATACAAATATAGTAACTGTTTCTTTAAGCGCTTTCCTTTTTAACTGTATTCCAACTTCTTCCATTTGTGCAGAATCACCATGATAAAAAAATATAGGAGAAAAGCAGAAGTGAATCTATGCTGAAAACTATTCTATTTACATTTTATTTTGCTGCCAAGAAAGTGTTCCTAATAGCTGTGCTCTATCTTACACTTTAGTTATACCTTCAAATTTATGATGGAAGACAATGGTTTTCCCAATAAATGTCCCTCTCAAAATACGGAGTAAATTAAAAATAATGACTGTCGTGAAACTGTAGATTACTTAAAGTGAATAGGCAGAAAACCACTTACCCCCAGTTGCCACAGTGATTTCACGTAGGGAATGGCCATAAAATGGAAAATCGAAGGACAGATTCACTCTCTGTAAGGAACAACAGCAAGAAAAGAAAATCAATAATTCACAGAATAGTAAATGTGAAATGAAGGCCCTTTCAAAAAAAAAAAAAAGGCTTCTGCTTTTCCACTACATTATTGAAGTTGGCTTTTGAAACCAAAACCTGAGCCCTTGAATGCAATAAGGCAATTTCCCCTGGAAATTACCTATCTCATTTGGACATTCCGGGGTTATGCATGTTCAATTTTATATAATCTTTAGTTATGAACTAAAGCCTATTATGTTAAAATTGAGCTCTGTGCAATGGTTTGTGATAAGAATTGGAGACTACTTTGCAACTGGTTATCATTAGTACCTTTATTTTTACTGTATTATTTTTAAGTTTAAAATGTTCTACCTGAAAGTGTTCCTTTAACATGTTTATGCATAGAAAAGTACATTATACATATACTAAGACAAACGTTTGCTTACTGGCATTCGCTATGAACTTTACTGAATTATTCAAACTTATATAAAGATTATACTTTTTTTTGCACTCATTTGTAAACTGAGGTGGTCTGTACATGAAAATAAATTTGGTCCTGAAAAGATCTGTTTCTATTATAAGTCATAAGATTATCTTTAAGATATAATTAAAAGTAAACTTCTTCTCTAATATCTCTACTTTATGTCAGTTGTCTACTATGCAACCAGATGGATTAACATAATAAGTAATTTAGTTCACAGGTCCTTTTAGTTTGGAGTGCATTCTTTGTAACAGTAGAGCAAGTCAAGTCACTGAATAAAAGGAAAGAATTACCCTTCCATAAACACTTTTGTATTTTACCTTGTATCTATCCCCATATAAAAGGCATTTTAATGGGACAAAATCTCTTTCCTGTGTAGAACTTGACTTATAGTTTGTTTCCTAACCCATTTTATACGAGCAGTAAGAAACTGAAACTTTGATATGCCATACATTAACTGCACTTTAAAAGTACAGAGTCCTACTACACTGCCGTAGTGGTAAAGACAGCAAGGTACTGGTACAATGACAGACACATAGATCAATGGAATCGAATTGAGAATCCAGAGATCAACCCATCTATCTATGG